TCTCCCAGGTACTTGCAGTTAATACTGATTTTTTTTCTGCCCATTTTTCCTCGTGGTCTGTGAAGAATTTAGCCCACCGAGTGGCTGCTTCACGGTCTTTTAAAGTTCTGGTTTCTACTACTCTTGTTTCTTTATTTTTCCCGGATGCTCTGCGCAAATGTGTCTTGCGATGTGCTAATAATTTTTGAAAGCCCCTTTTGTGGAGGTCTTTGGTTATTTCACTGAGAAGAGTCTGATTAATTGCATCACAGCTTGCTGTGAACTTAAGTTGAAAAATCAGGAAGGCGGGTAAATTTGTGTTTTATGCATTCACGTCCCAGAAAAATATTTATTCCAGCGATTGAAGTATTATTGTATCCAGTTCGCCAAAGTCTCCTTTTAAAGAATCTTCTTTTCAAGAACCACTGGGCCAGAAAAGGTGAAACTTAAGCGAAAGCCACTTAACAAAGTCTTGTGTAGCTGACCACCTGAGGAGGATACATGGCTGGACGAGCCATGAATCACAAAAATGGCGACATATAACGTAAGACTCAAATTTAAAAATATAAAGAATTTTTAAAGTTGTTCAAATATCATTTATCTGCCAATATTATCATGGACTTTAATGTAAAATTTAATTTAGATTTGCTTTTTATTTGTATGTCTATAATTCTTTTTCGCCTTAGATCTGAAGACAAGAACAGTAAAAACACAAGGAAAAGAATCCAATGCCCAATTTCTAATTGCAATATAAAGAGAAAAAAGAGAAAATGTAGGCAATTTTAACCAAAACAGCACACAATTTACTTCAATTTCCTGAACAGATTTAAAATAAGATATTGTTTTCCATACTAACAAGGAGCAGTGCTTTTTCGACTCTTTCTAATTCCTCATTGCTAATTTCCTCGTTTGAAAGAATGAATATGGATCTACCTTACAAAAGAAATTAAGTACAATTCCGTCAGTATTCCCTCAAGAATTTTATTTCTTTAACACAGCAAAATAAATGTATTCTGGGGATTTCCAATGGCTTACTTAATCATTTGACTTGGGTATTCAAGTCGCAAAAGTAGCAGGTTTTATATTTCTTAACATGTCATTTAATTGACTCCTTAAAAGAATGAAAATTCTTTTGATTTGTTTTTTACATCAAACCATAAAGTAAGCATTTGTTTAACAGTACCCAGACAGGCACCCTGCATGTAGTCTATAACACAACTTTTTACAGGTTCGAAATACTTCAAATACAGAAACCTGAACTGCACCTTGTGTCCATTAACTGAACATTTCGATTCGTTGTTTAAGGATTTAAGATTGTACATCTCTAATGACAGTTTCTCTGCTATTAGGATTTGACTCGTCATATTGGAATACACGAGAAATTCCTCGAGTGTCATGTTTGTGATTTCTCCCTTTTTTAATCAAAACCAGTGACTAAATTCAGCATTAAGCTGATTACCGTTATACACCAGTGCTCTTACTGGAAAGTCATATGTCCTCGTTAAAAGAATACACTTGTATTAAGAACTTTCCATCCTTGTCAGTAAATCTATATCCACTCGATTCCAAGTGTTGCTTGTGAAAAGTGGTTTGAAAAATGACCACATCTGTGTTTTTTTGTTTGAAATCCAGACACCATAAAGCAATGCATTCTGTCGTCGTTTTCAATGAGAAAGTGGGAGTTCATTGGCAAGCATATACACAGGCAAAATGCTTGCACTTGATGACTTGAAAGGAGGTGCACCATGAGTGTTAAATGAAAATAATAAATTGTTTTCGTTGCTTGGAATTCCATTATTTTCAAAAATATTGTACAGATTGCCTTCATATACGTCAATTTACTCTTTACATTGTATGCGTTCCAACAGCGTTGCAAAAATCGGGGTTTTTACAAAGAGATGCTTATTGAGACACTAGACTAAGTATATTTGTGACATAAAAACCATTGCTCCAGTATATACGCCAGTTTTTCACATTAGCACAGGATGAAAAGCCAGGTTTTCCAAATTTGGAAACCCGATGGAAACGTATGGGAATCGTGACATCAGTAGTTTCCATATAGTTTCCATTTTATGGAAACCACATAGTGGTTTCTACGTAGATTCCCGATATGGAAACAATCAACCTGTGGTTTTCCGTAAGTTTCCAAATATGGGAAACCGTGGAAACATGCAGTAGTGGTTTCCACGTAGATTCCGGATATGGAAACAATCAACCAGTAGTTTCCTGCATGTGTCCCAGATATGGAAAACACGTATGCTGTGGTTTACACCTAATTTCCGATAATAGACATTTTAGAAACGTGTATCAAAAGAATAATAAAAAAACTGTTTGTGTAATTCTGTGTAATAAAATTGAACATTCTGTGACAAATTAATAAATATTTTTTTAACATTTTATTCTCGGTGAAACTCATAAAGACACGTGAATTGGATTTAGTGGTAAGAGAAGATTTAATACAATTTTTAATTTTAGAAAAAACAGTGTAAACTGTTCAGATAAAATTCAGTCATTGCGCTAACCCTTGTAATCGCGGGCACCTGTTCTCACGTGCCACAGGTGGAGACACGTGTCGCGAAGACACCTGCGACTGTGTATTTTTCGTATATTCTATGTGATTTGAGAGGGTTTTCTACCTAAGGGGAGAAATGGGCTGTGGTCAATCATGTACATACACGTAGTCTCCACAAACTCAGTTTAAATTTAGGTGATTGCTGGCCATTGATTTGATTTTAAAAAATAATTTAAATTATCAATAAGACCACAGAATTTTGATAAAATAAGCTACATGAATTTTAGGATGTTCTACGAGAGAAGAAAAACAAGAGGCCCATGGGCCACATCGCTCACCTGAGCACATTGGCTAGGCAAAAGCACAAATCAGGTCAGTATTGAAAAGACCAGGGGAGGGAGGGGGGGGGGGCTTGAATTTTAAACTACCTGATGATGCTTCCATGTCAATGTAACAAATGGCTTTGTTGTACTTGAGAAAATTAAAAAAAAAAAATTCCCATATATTCCTTTGTAAAAATTTGATCCCCCATTGTGGTTCCTCCCTATCCCAGGGGTCATCATTTGAACAAACTTGAATCTACACTACCTGATAAACATAGCTTTTCTGTTCTTGAGAAGAAATATTTCTTCTTTTTCTTATGTTAAACTTTCCATTCCCCATTGGGCCCCACCCTACCCCTGCGGGTCATCATTTGAACAAAATTGAATCTACACTACCTGAGGATGCTTCTATATCAAAATGACTAATCATGGTTCGCAGTTCTTCAGAAGAAGAAATTTTCCTTATATTTCTATGTAGAAATTTGATCCTCCATTGTGGCCCCGCCCTACCCCCGGGGGTCATGGTTTTCACAAACTTGAATCTACACTACCTGAGGATGCTTCCATATAAATATGATTCATTATGGCTTTGCTGTTCTCGAGAAGGAGATTTTTAAAGATTTTTCCTATATATTTCTATGTAAAACTTTGATCCTCCATTGTGGCCCCGCCCTACCCTCGAGGGTCATGGTTTGAACAAACTTGTATCTACACTACATGAGGATGCTTTCACATGAATATGACTCATCATGGCTTTGCTGTTCTTGAGAAGAAGATTTTTAAAGATTTTTTCCTATATATTTCTATGTAAAACTTTGATCCTCCATTGTGGCCCCGCCCTACCCCCAGGGGTCATGATTTGAACAAACTTGAATCTACACTACCTGAGTATGCTTCCATATAAATATGATTCATCATGGCTTTGCTGTTCTTGAGAAGAAGATTTTTAAAGATTTTTCCTATATATTTCTATCACTATGTAAAACTTTGATCCTCCATTGTGGCCTCGCCCTACCCCAGGGGTCATGATTTGAACAAACTTGAATCTACACTACCTGAGGATGCTTCCATTTAAATATGATTCATCATGGCTTTGCTGTTCTTGAGAAGAAGATTTTTAAAGATTTTTCCTATATATTTCTATGTAAAACTTTGATCCTCCATTGTGGCCCCGCCCTACCCCCGGGGGTCATGATTTGAACAAACTTGAATCTACACTACCTGAGGATGCTTCCATATAAATATGATTCATCGTGGCTTTGCTGTTCTTGAGAAGAAGATTTTTAAAGATTTTTCCTATATATTTCTATGTAAAACTTTGATCCTCCATTGTGGCCCCGCCCTACCCCAGGGGGTCATGATTTGAACAAACTTGAATATACACTACCTAAGGATGCTTCCACATGAGTTTCATCTTTCCTGGCCCTATGGTTCTTGAGAAGAAGATTTTTAAATGATGCCATTATTTTTTTCAGTAATTCCTAATTATCTCCCCTTGAAAGAGGGCGTGGCCCTTCATTTGAACAAACTTGAATCCCCTTCACCCAAGGATACTTTGTGGCAAGTTTGGTTGAAATTGGCCCAGTGGTTCTTGAGAAGAAGTCGAAAATGTGAAAAGTTTACAGACAGACAGACGGACGGACAGACAGATGGACGCCGGACAAAATGTGATCAGAAAAGCTCACTTGAGCTTTCAGCTCAGGTGAGCTAAAAAGAATAGTATTTTAATTTTTCATTACTGATTAAAAAACAAAATTTCCTAACCGTTTAAAAATTATATATACTTTTCTATCGGTCTAGAATAAATCAAAATTCTCGTTATGTGTTAAACCATAATTCTTTTTCAAATAAATTTGTAAGTGCATAGATAAATGAAATAAAATTTCTTAATCGGTAAGTAGTAAAGGGGGTAGTCTGGGGGCACTTTACGGGCACCCCCTCTTAGGGTCGTCTGAGGGCACCCCCCTCTGAGGGCCGTCTGAGGGCACCCCCGTCTGAGGGCACTACGCTTAGGGTCGTCTGAGGGCACTTTGCAGACACCGCCACTCCTAAAGGCTGTTTAAGGACACCATTCTTATATATATATATATAGCCTGTATACGAGTTATCAGCAACACACCACATCGAGATTACTCCACTGTTCACTTAAAAGTGCAGATAAAACAGAGAACTATAAACAACCAAATAGTATTTCTTTTAGTCAGAATTTTCTGTTTGAACGTTGCAGATCAATCTCCCATAGTAGTAAGTACATGTTGTAATGTTACTCTATTTCATTAAAAAGAAAGAAATTTTATATGACTATAAAATTTATTGCGAGTTTCACAACAAATAGATAATCTGAACACATCATCATACCAATCATTAAGAAAGAAGGAAAAAACATTTAAGACATAGTTGCATACTTGAAAATGAACAAATACTTGGATAGAGTTTAAAAAAAAAAAGAACACATATAATGATCATGTAAATTAAGCAGATGGACATTTAGTTTAACCCTTTCCTCTTAAAAAATGTCACTGAAATTTTTTCATGAAATCTTGAATATAATGTACCACCATTGACGTTTGGAGAAGGTCCACACGGACGTTATCTACCAATTCGTTTAAAGCGTTGAGCTCCTCTTTGAGAGGGTAATTGTTAAGTGGCATCCAAAACCCTGGTGCTACAACTGGAGAGAGACTCGGTGTTGATTGTGGGGGGTTGTTATCCGAGTCATCATTTGGTTGACTGTAGGTTCCGACTTTAGTAGCACTGGTGGCGATGCTGGACTGTTTTCCGAAGATACCTGACTATATCCGGCGAATGACGGAAGGGGGGCCTGGGGTGTTGTTGTCGGAGTCATCATTGGGGTGACTGTAGGTTCCGACTTTATTAGCACTGTTGTCGATGCCGGACTGTATTCCGAAGATACCTGACTATATCCGGCGAATGACGGAAGGGGGGCCTGGGGTGTTGTTGTCAGAGTCATCATTGGGGTGACTGTACATGTAGGTTCCGACTTTATTAGCACTGGTGTCGATGCTGTACTGTAATCCGGAGATACCGGACTGTAATCCGGAGATACGGGACTGTAATTCGGAGATGAGGGACTGTAATCCGGAGATGAGGGACTGTATCCCTGGGATTTTATAGGCACTGGTGGGTTGAACTCTCCTGACTCTGTCGACGCAGGTTTATGGCTAACAGTCAACGTGTTACATACTGGTGTCGTGAGGGTAAACGTTGACCGGATACGTTTTTCAAACGTTGTATATTTCCCTGGGTTGTCTTCTCTGTTACAAAAAATAAATAAATAAAAAATAGATAAGTATACTAAGAATAAATAAATAAAAAATAGATAAGTATACTAAGAATAATTTAAAAAACAAACAAACAAAAACAAACAAGCAAAAAAACACTTAAAATAAAATATTCATTTTTTTTTTATTTTTAACAAATACTTTAAACCAAAGTGAGTCTGCTTCATGCTTTACTATTCCTTTATTTGATTTTTTGTGCCTTAAAGTCTGTAAAGTTTACCTGAATGTTTTCAGCAGTGGATGCTCCTCTTTCGTCTGCTGCGAGAACCCCTCACTCTCAGGGCTGTTTTCTTTCTTCATTTTCCTATGAAAAGATTTTCAAAACAAAAAAAAAAGTAAAAAATGTTTATGTTTACAATTTAAAAGATTTTAATAGTATGTGGTGGAGTGGGGGTATTCTTATATTTTTTTTAGAATAAGAGTAGAGATTAAATAAATTTACCTTCTCAAAAGAATTAGTGAGTCTTCTTATTCACTTAATTTTCTCTTGTATGTAGGTTGACTTTGTTTAAGGGATGGTTTATCTTCTTCAACCTGGTACGGGTCCTCCGGGGAGTTTCTAATAAATTATAAATTTTGAGCATTATTTAAAAAAAAATTGAAGCAAACAAATGTTAACCTGTTTATTTTTATATATACATTGTTTTTCATTGTAACAGAAAATCACAATTTCAACATCAAAAAAAATTTTGACTTCAAAATGACAGCTAATACATATTAAAAAGTGATAAATTTTAAAAAGAGTACTTACCCTGATTCAAACGCCACCAGGAATTCCTCCCCCATCTCGATCCACTTTGCTCGAAATCTAAAAAAGCTTGTGCCATTTTGAACGATTTGTTCTGAAGACTGTGATTTGCTTTGCATTTATCCTCTCTATTTATACTGATTCGGGAGAAAAGGGGCAGGGCTTGGCGTTTAACAATTGTATTTATTTAAATTATAGAAAATTATAGAAACCGTCTCAAAAAACGCTCGAACGATCATTCAAAAAAAAATATCGCGCGCGTTTTTTTTTTAAGTTCGACTAACCTTTCAGAAAATACTGCGCGATGATGACTGCGCGCACGTTTTCTGTAATTTTTCACATATATTCTATAATTACATTTGTGTTAAGTTAAATTGCCATTGTACGACTTGATTACCAAAGCGATTTTCTTAAAAAGTACAATGTACCTTCAAGAAAATTAAAACGTGGTCTCATTTTTTGAACTTTTAGAAAATACTATATTGGTACTACAAAGTCGTAAATATTTTTTTCCCATTAAGGCGCCTCAATAAACAGCATGAAAAATAAATAAATAGACAAATAAATAAATAAAAGAACACATGCATACAAATGTTTACACATTCAGCACAGAAAGAAGAAGAGTGATTATAAAAACACATATTTTTCAAGCAAAAAGTTATACATGTTGTTGAAAATCGACTTTTTACTTTTGATTTCATTAATATTGACACAAAATTGTTACTATGTGGTGATAAAGTTTTACCTTTGTAAACTAATATAAACATTTTTACAACTGTTCACAAATTTACAGATGATCTTATTAGTTACTGTACAAGATATATCTATTTTTTATTAACAAACATGACATTTTGTAATTAATCCAAGTAATTGTTTGATATCTTGTATGATGTGAAGGAGCGGGTTTTTTTTTTAAGTTCATATTACCTTTCAGAAAATATTGCGCGCGTTTTCTGTAATTATTCGTTATTTCACATCTGTGTAAAGCTGAATTACCATGGCACGCCCAGATCACCGAAGCGATTTTTTTTATTAAAGTTTTCATATCGAGCGCGTTTTCTGTAATTCCGAAGCATTTTTTTTTAAAGTTCAGTTCACCTTTTAGAAAATACCGCGTTTTCTGTAATTATTCGCATGTGTTGTCATGCTAATATTCTATAATTGCATCTGTGTGAAGTTAAATTGCCATGACACGACTTGATTACCGAAGCGATTTTTTTTTTAAATCAAGAAAATACCACGTGCGCTTTCTGTAATTACCGAAGCGATTTAATAGTTCCGTTCACCTTTTAAAAAAATATTGCGCGCGTTTTCTGTAATTTATTCGTTATTTCACACCTGTATAAAGTTCGTTTTCTGTAGTTGCATGTATTTGTGTTGCTGTTATGTCCTTCTAGACGATCGTGACCACAACACGTGCTAACAGAAGGCTGCCATTTTTAGAACTACTTTATTTTATTATACAACACAGAACCAACAATACAAGATCACATAATTCCGGATTACAATATCAGATAAACCAAATCATAACATTCCTCCCCCCTAAATTTTGACTTCTATAAGAATGAACATCAGAACTGAACCTGAATGAAAATTGGGCAATACACACATCTCAAATTTTAAACTCATAGACATGTTTTACCAGGTCAATACATGCAACACAATACAGTAATACAAAGTGAAAATGACCTCTTGGTCAACACAAAGGCATGGGGATTATTGTGCCCCATAACTGTGCCATCATACAAAACAAAATGCACATTTCATTTGAAAGTAACATAATCACTGAAACGTTTGGGCGGTCCAACATTTCGTCTTGGGTTTTGTCGGGCCGGTGTTGTAGGCTCGGTCCTAACTTCTGGCGGAAATTTCTGTTCCTGAAAAGGACTATTAGTAATCTTCCTGTTGGAGACCTCTGGACTAGATTGACTGACATTCGGACTTTGCGGAAGGACTTCCTGACTAGACAGCTTAGCACCAGCAGTAGGAGTTGGTACCTGTGGCACAAACTTCCCAAAATCACTGGGTACAACTCCCTGATTCTTTAGTGAAGAATCCTGTATCTGATCCACATGTCTTCTCCATGTGCTGTCCCCAACTTGTACTCTATAAGAAACTGGTCCCGTCTGCTCTTGAACGGTTCCTGGTACCCAGTCCGACTTCGAACTGTGACGATAGTCCCTAACAATCACTCTTTGTCCAGGTTCAAACACACGCAACGAACTTGACCTCTTAGATGCTATGTGAAACTGTTTGTTTTTAACATATTGTTCAATGTCTGGTTTTATCAAATCTAGTCGTGACTGCAATGAACGACCAATGAATAGCTTTGCGGGTGACTCTCCAGTAGTTGAATGTGCTGCGTTGCGGTAGGCTAGTAAAAAGTTAGATAACTTAGTTTCCACAGAACCTCCATCCTTCTTGCTTGACTTCATTGCAGACTTGAAAGATTGTACAAAACGTTCCGCTAATCCATTTGAACTAGGATGATATGGAGCGGATGTCACATGCTTTATTCCATTGGTAAGAACAAAGTTTCCAAACTCGTCTGACGTAAACTGAGGTCCATTATCACTGACCAACACTGTAGGAACACCATTCCTAGCAAAGATACTTCTCAAGACCTCAATAGTCTTGTGGGATGTCGTCTCGCGCATCATTATGACCTCTGGCCATTTAGAGTGTGCATCTACTGCTACCAGGAACATCGAGTTCATAAAAGGCCCCGCAAAGTCTATATGGATACGTTCCCAAGGTTTAGTGGGCCACTCCCACGGATGAACCGGAGCTGCTGGAGGTGCACGCTTGAATTCCTGACATCCTAAGCATGCTTTTGTGATCTTCTCTATATCAAGATCGATCCCAGGCCACCATACCACACTTCGAGCTAATGCCTTCATCTTCACTACTCCAATATGACCTAAATGAAGCTCCTTCAGTATGTGACCCCTAAGCTTAGTTGGAACGACAACTCTCATTCCCCATAACAAACATCCATTGTGAATAGTTAACTCGTCCTTGCGCGTAAAGTAGGGATACAACTCCTTGTCATCTGCTTTGACTGAAAAGTTCCATCCATTCATGGTATAATCATATACTTTCACAGTGACAGGATCACGTCCGATTTCCTGTCTAATACGGTCACTAGTGATTGGTAATGTTTCAAATTGTGGAAGGTACATCAAGTCAATATCTCGAAAATCATCATCAGGTTCACAGTCGGACAGTGGTAACCTAGATAAGCTATCCGCATTTCCATGCGTTTTGGTGTTTTTGTACATAATGTCATAATCATACCCTGATAAGAACAGAGCATATCTCTGCATGCGTGCTGCTGTGGTGACTGATACACCTTTGCTGGGATTGAAGATGGACACAAGAGGGCGATGATCCGTCAATAAAGTGAAGTGTCTTCCATATAGATATGTATGAAAACGTTTCACACCCCATACTATCCCCAGAGCCTCACGATCTATCTGTGAATAGTTCCGCTCTGCTGACGACAATGAGCGAGATGCATATGCTATTGGTCTCTCTGATCCGTCAACCATGACATGGGATAAGACACACCCTATACCATAAGGTGAAGCATCACATGCTAATCGCACCTCTCGCTGTGGGTCGTAATGAGTCAAAATCTCATCAGAGGTAATGAGCTGTTTGACTTCAGAAAACGCCTTGTCACATTCGCTAGACCAGGACCACTTCCGGTTCTTGGACAATAACTGGTGTAATGGGTACAAAAGACTTGAAAGGTTAGGCAAAAATCTGGCATAATAGTTAACAATGCCCAAAAATGATCGCAGCTCAGAAACATTCTTGGGCTTCGGGGCACCGACAACTGCTTCAATCTTTGATTGTGTTTTGTGCAGACCCTCACTGTCTATTTCATGTCCACAATAAGAAACACGTTCCCTGAAGAATTCACACTTTTTCAAGTTCACGCGCAGGTTGTATTCATCCAGTCGTGTTAATACAGCTTCCAAATTCTTCAGGTGTTCTTCCTCAGAAGAGCCCGTTATTATCATATCATCAATGATACATTTGACGCCTGTGAGACCCTGTAAGACAGTGTCGATTGTCCTCTGCCAGATAGCAGGAGCTGAGGCCACACCATAGACTAAACGGTTGTAGCGGTACAGCCTTTTCTCTGTATTTATTGTCAATAAGTTGCACGATTCCTCATTAACTCCCATTTGCAGATATGCATGTCGTAAATCTAACTTGGTGAACCGCTTACCGCCTGCAAGTGCTGCAAAAATGTCTTCAATGCGGGGCAGAGGATACTGATCGATTTCAAGAACAGGATTCAGTGTCACCTTGAAATCACCACATATGCGTACACTTTTATCAGACTTGATAACAGGGACAATAGGCGTTGCCCATTCGCTGTAGTCCACCTTGGTTATGATACCATCTCTGACTAGTTTGTCCAGTTCAGCCTCAACCTTAGGCTTGAGAGCATATGGTACAGAGCGAGCTTTACAGAACTTTGGTTTAGCGTCCAGCTTTAAGTTGAGTGTAGCTTCAATGCCCTTAACAGTACCTATATCACTCTGGAAAACTGAACTATGTTCTTCCAACATGTCTTTTAAGTCCACTTTCACATTATCTGAACAAGTATCTGAAATTTTGTCTATCACACACGACATGGACTTGATGGACGGCCAATCAAGTGAAATCTGCTGGAGCCACTCCCTTCCGAAGAGTGTTGGTCCTGCCTTCTGCATCACGTACAAGTCTAGGTCCTTTCTCTGGTTGTTGTGACTCACAGTCACACGTGCCACTCCACAAGGCTTCAAGATTTCACCGGTATATGTCTTTAAACACATATTAGATTCAGGTAAGTTCTTAATTCTTCCTGGAAAATACTCACAGAACTTTTTCTTGGACATCACTGAAACTGCTGCGCCAGTGTCAAGTTCCATATCAACATCT